GCGAACAAGTAAAATTCATCGAAAAATATAGAGAAAGAAGAAGAAGTAGGTTGATAAATTACGGCAATATAAAAAGATAAAGAAGAAGACTTAAAAAATACAACAAGCCATTCAAAAAAAGAAAAGTTAAAAAAGTATTGATGGAAGCAGTAAATATAGATTTATAGAATTGACAGACACCCCCATAAGAAGAATGAGAAGAAGAGAGAGGATGTTTTGGAGGTCTAGAAAGTTCAAAAAAGCTGTAACCACCATGAGTAGCAAGAATAAGAGAGGGAAATTTCAATAAGACAAAAAATTCAGGTAAAGAGGAAGAGATTATTTGCTGAATATAAAGTGATTTTTTATTTATAGATTTTATGCTAATATTAAAGAGTGAAAATGTAGAAGTAGGTTGAATTGTGTTATTTTTATATCTAGTTATATTATTTAAATTAATAGAATTATTATTTTTGTTATTAGTATTAATTACATTATAATATAATTTAATTTATATTTTATATGCTTGCTATTATTACTGTTACTAATTATATTTATTTTCTTGTTAGTTATATTAGAGTTAGATTTATTGCAACTATTATTATTAACCCTAAAATTAAAGTAAAGGCTTAAGAGAAAGTCTCTAGAATAAGACCATATTATATATCTTATTCATGGAAATATTATATATGTATACATCAATCAATCTTCGATTTGCGTCCAGAGACCCGGTTCCCCGAATTAGGACGTTGTTTTCTTTGTCATCAATTTTTGCGCCAAATTAGACGATCAGTTGTATCCATATCATTTAAATTTAGAGCTTTCATGTCTTGCTCGAATGTTTGCGACAAGGACTTCTTTGGACGGCCTTTGGGACGTGTGCCAGGTACTTCAACATCTGCAAGAGAAGTTATGGCACTGTTTCCACTTTGTTTGACATGACCAAACCACTGCAGACAGTGTTGCCGGCATTCGTCCTTTATATCATCTAAACCAGCACGACGCAGGATTTCGGTAGATTTGATGTGGTCCTTCAGACTAATTTGTTGCATCCATCGGAGCATTTTCATGTCGGTTCGTTGAAGTTATTGTTCCAGTTTGGTTGTCATTGACCATGTTTCTGCACTATATAACAACATCGGACGTATCACAGATTTATAAAGTCTTGATCGTAGTGGTAGTGGGATGTCACGCCGCATCAATATAGAGGCAAGGAGATGCCATTTATTCCAGGCTGCACGTATGCGTGCTCGAAAGGCAGCTTCAGCTGTTCCAGTACAATCCAGAACATCCTCTAGATATTGAAACAATGTGACTTTCTCTACGTTAATGGCTTCAAAATCATTACTATTTTGAATTCGTTGCTGTGGATTGATACAAACAGAACAAACTAAACTTGACACTTTAGATAAATTACCAATTATTTTTGAACAATGTCCGTGGCACCACTGATTACACTGCTGACACTTGATTGAATTGTTACCTACACCAGCTTTACAAACTGAACAGGGCCATCGTCCAGTAGCTGTAGAATGGATGGGTTCACCAGTGTTCATTGCTTTGGTTTTGCTGATGTTGACTTTGAATCCTTGATCCAATCTTCAAACATCTGTGCTGCATTCTGCTCAGACGTGGCTGTTAAAACAATATCATCAGCATATATTAGATTCAAAATGTCACCAGTGCGTATCGGTTTTGTGATTTCTTCCATCCCAGTTATAAATAACAGTGGACTGAGAATCGAGCCTTGGTGAACTCCAACGCCGATGTCAAATGCATCTCTGTTTCAAACCGTTGTGCTGACGAGAGTCTTAGTATTCGTATACATTTCCATCACAAGTCGAACAAGATATTCTGGAATGAGTTGTCGACGTAGACTCCACCTGATTGTTTCACGGGGAACTCGATCAAATGCTTTTTCAAGGTCTACAAAAATGTGTGATAGTTGTTGATGCTTTGCGAGGTACTTCTCTTGCAGTTGCCGAAGGGTGTGAATTGCATCAATTGTTGATTTCCCCGCTAGGAAACCAAATTGATAATTTCCGATTGTGATGCACGACTTGTTAATCTTCTCTCAATGATTTTCTCGACAATTTTCAGGGAGTGTTCTAATAGACGTATACCCCGATATGATGAACAGTTCAATGGATCACCTTTGTCTTTGTATAGCGGGACTACCATGCAATAGTTCCATTCAGTCGGCGTTGAGCAATTTCTCCAGATTTCACGGCAAAGTTGTAGTAACGTTTGGATACCTGCAGTGCCAGATGCTTTGATAATGTCATTTGTGAGTCCAGAAAGCCCTGCTGCCTTTCCATCCTTCATAGCTTTCAGAGCTTCTGTAAGCTCCTCTACAGTGATGTCCGGAATCGGACCTTCGATGGGTGGAGCGTCAAAGTTAACACTGATGGGATTTGTTTCGTTTAACAGACGGTTGAAGTATTTTCTCCACTGTAGCTTGATCTCATCTTGTTCAAGAACCATCTCATATATATATATATATATATATATATATATATATATATATATATACAGTTGTTCAAAAAATAGACTTAATTGTAAAGAACTAGTTCAAAATATTAGAAAATCGACCATAAAACTTGTTAATGCTGAATCGTCGGTGGATTTTTTGAACAACTGTATAGAACTTGGTCTTCTTCCTAATATATATATATATATATATATATATATATATATATATATATATATATATATATTACAATATTCTATAAATTCTACCGAATGTTTGGCGTTAATACGTTTGTAGTTCGTTTTTTAGATTTTTCTCACTAAAGTTTTTTGGTGAACGTTTAGTTTATTAAAATTCAAAATAAACTTATTTTTCGAATTCATGCTGCAAATAAGGCCATATTTCGATTTCGAATGAATCATCATCAGTGCTCCTTGCTGTATATATAGGGAAATATTGACTTTGTCAAGATGAACTTTGACGTTGTAAAAATTAACTTTGGTGTTGTAAAATTGAACTTTGATGCGAATTAGGTGTCAGGTTTCTTTATTGGTAATAGACCATAATTTTTACACAATTCTATAAATTCTACCGAATGTTTGGCGTTAATATGTTTGTAGTTCGTTTTTTCGATTTTTCTCACTAAAGGTTTTGTGAACGTTTAGTTTATTAAAATTCAAAATAAACTTATTTTTCGAATTCATGCTGCCATATTTCAGGCTGGTCATCGTCTTTGGTCTCCTTTTCTTCATCGATAGCATCATATTCTTCTTTGTCACTATTTACGATGCTAGTAAATACCAATGATTACCAAGGAGCACTGATAATGATTCACTCGGAATCGAAATATGGCAGCATGAATTCGAAAAATAAGTTTATTTTGAATTTTAATAAACTAAACGTTCACCAAAACCTTTAGTGAGAAAAATCGAAAAAACGAACTACAAACATATTAACGCCAAACATTCGGTAGAATTTATAGAATTGTGTAAAAATTATGGTCTATTACCAGCATATATATATATATATATATATATATATATATATATATATATTAGGTTAGCATTTTGGGTTAGCATTTCTGAAAACCTCGTTCCTAAATATATATATATATATATATATATATATATATATATATATTAGTAACGTTCGGATATATATATATATATATATATATATATATATATATATATATATGAATATATATATATATATATATATATATATATATATATATTAGGAATAAGACATAATAATATTAACGAAATATAGTAAAAGATAATTATAATAAAAAAGAAGAAAACTCACTTGTTCAAAAGCAAAAAACAAGAAATCACCCAATTTCAGAACCACAAAGTAACGGTGCCGCAATCCCGTTAAACGTAAACAATAAAGTAAAGTTGAAAGGTATGAGGGAAGACCATTGAATTAAACTTTAATTATTAAAGTAATCTTAACGTGGTAGTACGAGACGATGAGTTAGTGTATAAGCAATATCTTCAGTCTGAAAATTATGAATATGACGATTAGCTCATGTATAATGGTTACACAATTTGATCTAAGCTAAGACAAGAGAATTAAAAGATAGAAAATACTTAATTTTATATCACATCTAAACTGGTTCTTTCTGTTTTATAGACGGCTTTGTGAACTAAATTGTTACTCATTTCTTTGTTCAATTTATTGTCATTGTAAAATTTGCACTTTTTTCATTTGATTAATGGTCATCTGAATTTAATAATAAAATCCTATCAATCTCTTTTATATGCAAAGGCCAACAACAATACTTTTATTTATTGAAATATTTAGGAATTTTGTTGAAATATATTTTGCTACAAAATTTAAATAATATAAACGTTTCAACAAATTCAAAGATGTCAAACAAGATAGAAATTGTGGTTTACAATATCTATGGTTTACTCGACATCATGTTGTGGAATTTTCAATTACTAAATTTTCCATTGTAAACTAAAGTTTTTTTGTTTTCCTTCAATAAAATAATTAATTTTTTCTGACAAAGTTTTTAAAATTTGCAAAAAATTTCGTTGCTATATTTCAGTTCGTTTTTAATTTATCTTCCAGCACAGATTCACTTATTCAACCACATTGGTTACCAGTACAACGACACATTATATTTAAACTCGCCATACTTACGCACAAGTTACTTATTACATCTCAACCATCATATCTTCATCATCTTAAACCGCGTCGTTCATCAACTCGTCAACTTCATTCGTCTTCATATTAATATATTCGGTTGCATCAACCTGTCAGCAATTCATTATTTGTCAACAGATGTTTTACATGCAGCTCTTCTTCGGTATGGAATGGTTTGCCTGCCATCATTATCAATAACCAACCATCAAACTTTTTAGGAAACGATTAAAGAATTTGTTTATCCAGGTCTACGGAAACTTCAAAAGTCATTGTTTATCAAAGCGCCCCTGAATTTATGCATGTTAATAAAAATAATAATTTACTATTTAACAGATGCAAAATTGATTTACTTATACAAAGCAATGACTATGATCAATTTTTTATGTAAAATTAGCCACAGCGACTGCTACAGTTTTAGTTGAAGATATAAATGACCAGGTTCCAAGGTTCAAGCAGAAGTTTTACGAGATCAGCATTTTTGAGAGTCGTCCAACCGGAACTAACGTTTTAACAGTCTTTGCATATGACGATGATGTAGGCGTAAATGCTAAACTGATTTATTCGTTAGTCAAATTGGAAGATCATAAATATTTCAGAATATTCACTGATGCTGTTTCAAATTCTGGCGTCATACAAATTCATAACGTTGGTTTAACATATCATTTTTAATTACTTTTTTCAATGTTAAACATGGCGTTTGACATTTCTTCATACTTCAAATATTTTTTTGAAAGATCAGAGTTCGTTCACTTATTTGTTAGCTTTATATGTCTAATTTCTCCTATTTGAAATTATAGGAAATTGATTTTGAGACAATTAAACTGAAGTACTTCAACTTAACTGTTGGTGTTCATGATCTGAATCCACTTCATAATGACACTGCATACATTTTGATCAACATATTAGATGCTAATGACAATGCACCGACGTTCAGTATTACTCAACACAAAATCAATGTTTTTGAAAATATATCTGTTGATTCCTCTCTCTTTAGATTTGTTGTTCACGACTTGGACACTGGGCAAGGAGGGCTTTTTAGGTTGACTGTTTATCTTGAATTTATTCTGTTTAATTCAAGATTTACGCATTGTTACGATCTTTTTTGTATATTTATATCAGTAAAAAAATGAATAACATTATTAAATACATGGTTATGGATTTATTGCGGCATTATTTTTGCGTTTGAAATGTTCTTGTAGATATGAAATAGATCCGCTGTCTGATCCCCAAAACAATTTTAAAATATCGGATTCCGGCCTTGTGAGCACTGCACAGTCTCTAGACAGAGAAAACAGAGCGGAACATAAACTTCGTGTAATGGCTATTGATCAAGGTTAGTAAATAATATTTGTAAGATTTAAATCTTAATTTTTCAGTAATAAATTTTGATTCTTAGTCTTTCAATAATGAATTTTAGTGATATTTGGTATGCAAAGGTAGAGCAAATTTTCGTTACAGATATTCAATTTTGCGTTAAAAGTTTGCTATTTTTTGTTAGTTAGAGTTAATTAAGGATATAAGGTTTTTGTTATATTCTGTGTTGCTTTGTAGGTTAAACGTAAAAAAGTTTTCGATTACAGCTGGTAGCGAGCTTGCAACCGGATAAACCAACAGATGGCCGTATTGCGACCTGGATCTTGAGATCGAGGAAAATCTTTAATGTTATTTCTGTAATGCAAACATAAAATAACAAAAATTTGTTTGAGCTGTCGGTCATAAGAATTTTATAAAGCTAAAAAACTAATATCAATAAAATAGCAATATAAAACCACAAAAGCTTTGGTAAAAAAATTCAATTCACTAAAGGTAGTGTTTAACAATTAAATGTGTATAACAAATTTACTAGTATTATTTGATAATAAAATTATTTTAGATAGCAAAATATAATTTTATCGCAAACAATTATAAACAAGTGCATTCAAACATATTCAGAGTGGTGGACCCAGGAGTGGCCGGGAAGGCCATTGTTTTTCCCGTTCTGAGTAGTATTTGTTAAGTCAGTAAAATTTAGATTTTGAACTGAAAAAAGCACCGTTTTAATTAGATAATCAAGGAAAAATCGAAGTGATAAGCAAGAAAAAGATCGCTAGCCTAATTTTGGCCACACAACCACAATCTTGACATTTCCCGGCAAAATTGAAAAATTGAAAAAATTTTGAAATTTTTGCTCCCCCGTCAAAGAAGTTGTCATGATCCGCCACCGAACCCATTACACACCCAGGCTAAATACGTCAAAATGTTTACCAACTGAGGATTTTTTTAAATACAGTTTTCATCGGGTTGGAAAATCCCATAATTTGAGTTTGCTGAATAATCTTATTGTCTCCGAGCATACAAATAAGTAATCATACGAAATCTCAAATCAAAAATTATAATCTTATTTATTAAATAAGATTACAATTATTATTTTATTTATTTTTTTATTAGTTAACTCTTTTTAAATTTAAATTAATTTCTCATACTTTATTCTATAAATATTTGTATATTTCTTTATATTTTTTTTATATCATTGCACCGTGTTGTATCGTTTTGACGGTTTTTTTTTATTTTAAAAATATTCGTATTTAATTCGAATGTTTAATGTTTTTTTAATATCATCTATTATTACAATTCATTTATCTTATTTTATTTTTTAATATTGGAATCTTTAATTTTTAGATGTAAAATAATTAATAATATTTTACGTATTTTCATAGTTTAAATTGTATGTATATTGCTTTAAACTAGTTTTTGATTATTTATTTTTCATTTTTTCATTATTATTATTTGCTTAAATATTCGTGTAGGTATATTCAATTCTGTTCATTTTATAATTTTATTATATTAGTTTATAGTTTATTTTCTTATATAATTACAATTTTTGATTTTTATTATTATTAGTTTTGAAAGGGTCGGGATTAGGCGAGCGTTGGAGTTCGAGGTTGAAGGAGTGGTAGGAAGGGGTCGTCCGCGATTGGGATGGAGAGAGCAGGTGGAGAAGGACAGGGTGAAAGCGGGGTTGCGTGATACTGAGGCGAGTGACAGATGTGGATGGCGTCGAGGGGTATTTCGGTTTCATCATAGGTAGCCAAACAGCAACCCTCGATCTCGGGGAAAATGTCGTCTAAACGTGTGTTGTTGTTGTTATAAGTTTTGGATTATCTTTAATTTTAATTATTAAACATTAATTTCTCGCACTTTACATTGAATTATCCATTTTTATTTACTAGTTTGAATTATTTATTCACCATATATAATTTTATTTGTCATGACTCATCTCATAAAAGTAGAATAAGTTTACAGCAAGTAATGGCAAACCTACTGTTTACAACTTTTGCCAAGAAAACCACTGACAATTATGACTGCCAAGAAAACCACTGACAATTATAAAACATTATGATAGTGACACGTTGAATGAGCCTATATGTGTGGCAACATGGAACGTTAGAACGCTGTACCAAACTGGAAAATTTGAGAACTTGAAACAAGAAATGAAACGAATGAATCTCAGCATTCTAGGTCGAGCGAAACTCGATAGAAGAAATCAGATAGCATTATTTTTGAAAAAAGCAAATTTATCTACTCTGGAGGTGATTCACACGAACGTGAACAAAGAACGTGAACGTTTTGAACAAAGAAATGTCTAAACATTTTAGATGGTTTCTGGGCGGTGTTGGATAAAGTTTTGCTGATCAAAACACACGCAAAGCCTTCTAACCTAGCTAAATCCAGTAAAGTAAAAAGGACTTCAATTTAATTTATAATTTAAAATTTCAACGCACAGATTGGCAAATTAAAATTATTTTTGGCAGCTGCTTACAAATTGGTTTACAAATATTTTGAACAAATATTGTTCTGCTTGAATATAAATAAATCAGTTTAAAAATAGACAATCCATGAATGATAGCGTTAGAGAAAGGAGAAGTACTTGACAGATGAACCGAATACATTAACGATCTTTTCGATGATATTTGTGGTGAAAAGCCCTTTATTAAAAAAGACGTAGAAGGACCAAAAATACTTAGATCTAAAGTTTGTGCTGCTCTTTCCATAATGAAATTAAATAAAGCGCCAGGCCCAGATAAAATAGCAAAATCAGATCCGAAATTTCAAAAGTCCAATGTGGTTTTGTTATGAATTATGGCACAAGAAACGGTATTTTTATGCTACGAATGATCAGTAAACGAGCAATTGAAATGAAGACTTGTTTATATGTTTTGTCGATTACTTCAAAGCATTTGATAGCCCGAAACACGTAGAGCTTATTGAAATATTGAAAATGTTTGACATTGATGGAAAAAACACGAGAGTTATGAAAAACCTCTATTGGGACCAAAGAGCAGTGATGAAAGTTGGTAACAATATGACTACTTTTGTCAAAATAAAGGTGTTATGCAAGTCTGTGTATTTTCTCCAGACTTGTACAATTTCTTTAGTGAGATCATCAGGAGGAAGCGAAGTTCCAGAATATATTTTTTTATGCGCCAAAATTTGGGAATGATTTTCCAAATTATTTAAAAATCATTGACTCTAGAATGTTCTTAAAAACAGTTAAAAAATTTTTAAATTTGTTTCCCATGAATCATTTTCTTAATTTTTAATTTTTATGTAATGGTATTTTGACTTAAAGTTTTGATGTGCTTAAAAAACAGTTTCTCAAGATTCATTTTCTAATATATAATCTTTTATTTATATGTTTTGTAATGGTAATTTGACTTAAAATTTCATCTAATTAATTATTAGATTTTTTATTGTTTTGTTTCATTACGTCAAATATTATTATTATATTTATATTAAATATAATATATTAAATTATATTATGTTATTACTTTACTTAAGGTCACCAGTAATATAGCATTCATTACTAAGGTTGCACCTTTTTTCTCTCATTTACGTAGTTTTTGATAGAAAATAAGCCTGTATAAAAATTTAAAAAATTTCAGCTTTGATCAGTTTCTGGATCAATTAGTCAATATTTTTTATTGTCTTTTTGTCATTGTTTTTCAACTTATTTATATAGAAAACAATGTATTAAATTACTCTTTTATTTATTTTTTATCTTATCCTATTTTTGGTAATCCTTCACCATTTTCAATGTAGTATGTTATCAAGTATTAGTTTTATCTTATATATATTTACACAGCATTTCTAGTTTATTAGCACCAACAGATCACTTAGCGTCAGTTCTTTGTTTGTTTTTTTTCATTATTAGTTTCTTTGTCGGTAACAAAATTACTGCATTCTGTTGAATATTTATTCTCTTTGTTTATTCAAATTGCTTGTGCAACTTTAAGTTGAAACGGATTGCCGTTGCGATACAGTATATTTGTATTATTGTTGAGTTTCTCTCTAGTAATTACTGTTCCGTGATTATCGATTAGATGGTTTTTTATTTTACCTCTTTGTGCATGCATAGTTGATCTATGTGTTTGAAGAATAAAGAGCCAATAATGAAAGGTAATCACCTGATATATTTCTTTAAATTTCTTATCGGTGAGTACGGGCATCGAAATTCGGAATATATCGGACGCACTACTATTACATTGACGCGAAGGTTAACTATGCATACACAAAGAACTGAAGTAAAAACAATTAATTGATAATCAAAAAGTAAAGATAAAAAGGTGGGTGAAAAAACTACAAAACAGGAAAAAATGTGGACCGGCTCTAACCCAGTTAGAAATGGTGAAAAAAAATGTACAAACTAAATTTAGAGGTACTTTTTTGAGAAAGAAACTAGATATATAGGTGGTATGTTTGACTTTCTCTCACTTCAATGCTACAATTCATAATGTTTTCGACAAGTGATGACGGCGACGTTGATAATTTTTTTCCATTAGTGTTCAAATAATTTTCAGGTGTTCCACAGTTGACCGGCTATGCTACATTATATGTAACGTTAAAAGACGTGAATGATAATCCACCACATCTCAATATTACGTATCTACCTATTATTTACGAAAACAAACCACCCGGTCAATTTGTTGTTGAGGTCACAGCATCAGACAATGATTCTCTTGACAACGGACCGCCATTCAAATTTTGGTTACCTTGTAGTGGCAGGTGTCCTTGTTGGAGTTTTTCTTCATGTCAATTTTTCAAGTTCAAATTTGCTCCAAGTTTGTTTTTTTGCAGTTATTCTTCAGTGTTTATTAGTTTTTTTTTTGTAAAAAATTTAGCAGAAGCGAAATTTCTTTTAATGTTATAAAATATTGACTAAAAGTAACATTTCAATAGTGTGTTATCTAAACTTATACGTTAATATAATTTTTAGATGGTGCAAAGAAGCAGGGATCAGCCATCATAACTAGTAATTCATCATTTGATAGAGAAGTGAGTAAGAACTATGTCATCCCTATAATTATCTCAGACAGTGGCTCACCTGTTATGTCTGCCACATACTCACTCACCATTATTATTGGGGATGAAAACGACAACATGCACACACCTGGTTTCAAACAAATACGTGTCCTCACATATGAAGGTTTTTTGTCAATCATTTGCTTTCTTATGCTATGTTGGTTGAAGTTTGATGAACAGTAAAAAACATGATTGAATGTTAAATAAAAAATGTTTGCATTCAATATTTGATGGCAAAATTATGTAAATTTTGTTCAGCGCTCCGTGCCTCATTGTTTCAGGGGCGACTTGAAGCTAGCGTTTATAATCAAGTGCACTTTAACACTTTGAATCCTTATCCTACAAGAATGAATTGTATTGAGTAAATGTTAAATGGCCAGAAAAAGCAAATGCAGATTTAGCAAAAGCGTGTTTAACACGAGTTTAGAAGTGAGAACAAGAAGACGATCGTAAACCGGGGCGTTTATGTTCAATTAATATATCTGATAAGTACTTAGGAAATAATTTAGATAACTTATACATAGATGTGCAAATTTAAAAAATTATTCTATATTTTATAGGTAGCCAGTGCAAGAGAACAAGATATGGAGATATGTGAGAAAAGAAAGGGGCACGAGCAACTAGACGAGCAGCAGAGTTAAAAGCTTTACTTAAAGGATAGATTGTAGAATCACGAAGACCATAATAGAGCAAGTTACAATTATCAATCTTAGATAAAACTAAATAGGTTACAAGAAGGAGAAGAGTAGGATCGTCAAGAAAAGGCAGAAGTTGTTTTTATTCTACTTAGATAAAAGTAAGTATTTCTAGCAACACTATTAATCTGAGAAGAAATAAACATGATAGAATCAAAGCATTTCTAGACTACGAAACTTGTGAGAAAATTAGGAGTTTTAGAATCAGGTAAGATAATAGAATTAGCAATAGAGCGTTTAAATTTATTAAAACAAATTAATTCAAATTTAAAAGAGCTAGTATAATTGAAGAAAGACATAGAAATGCAGATCTGATTATTCCGTCCTTTAGTTCCTCAAAATATGGACGGCGGAAATTTGCTGTAATGGCGGGTGAAATTTGGAACTCATTTCCTGTACAGTTGTGTCTCATCACAGATTGACGGCTGTTCATAAAAACATTGAAACGACATTATTTCAACACTGTACACCAAAGTAAGCGCTTTTGAGGTCTTTTCGAGAGAGGTGCCATACAAGTTCTGGTATTGATACTGAAATAGTTGAGATTAGATGGAGGAAAAGAAGTATAAATATAAGAATCATCAGCATATAGTTGATTATAGCACCTACAACATTTGTTAATAAATATTTTATCATTATCTTTTCAATGAATGATGGGGCTGTTAGGTCAATCTGAAGAGATCTTTTTGGGCACTGTACTTGCTAACGATCTAGATGACTGGGACATCAACGACAAAATATTCACATTCATTGATGAAGATGACAATAAACTTTTTAGGTTTTTAACCTGTCTTATTTTATTTGCTTATTTCTAACGATGTAAAATCCTATTATTTTTATATTTTATAAATCATAACGAATGAAATATTTTGAAAAAATATTAGTGTAACAATGCTTTATACTAATTTGACTGTAATTTTTATGTGAAACATTAACAGGTTAAACAACGCGACCGGTCAGTTATACACAAGAACTAAACTGCATGATGAATCCTATAATATATTTGTGAGAGTGTATGACATGAGATGGAAGCATGGAGTCACTTCAACTGTGAAATTGGCTGTAACGATGGTGCCCAATAAGGTCATCTCTAATGCTGCATCAGTCAAATTGCTAGGTAACTTCCTGATCTGCCATTATCATTTGCATTCAATAAAGCTTCTTTTTCAAATAAATTTTAAAATTTTCTATCATTTCGTCTATCATCGTTTAATCTAAATTTGCTATAGAACTCGTTTCCTCTAGAGTTTGTTTTGTCGAAATATATTTTGTTTAATGGGGTTTTTTAATTTTATTTTTAAGTTTATTTTATCTGGTGTTGAGATAGATAAATGTCAGATTTCGCAAGATCATCATGAATCAATTTCAAGTGTTTGATGATATTTGACGCCACACACATTTATTTAAAAAATTGATACTGCTATATTGTATTGAATGTATATACGCTGATATAAAGTTTTTTTTTGCAAACATTTTGTTAGCCGCTACTTTTGAACTGTAGACCAGTAGTTTAAGGTGTTTGCTATTTAAAATTTTCAATAGTTTTATTTATTGAATATTCCTATATGCTTTTGTCTTTCTTTATTTTTTTCTTCTTTTCTTTTTTTATTTAATCCGTTTTTTGTGCTTTTTTGTAATTGTTTGTTTTGCGAGTTTTAGAGTTGAATTTTGAGAAATTAGGCTATATAAATCTAATTGAATAATTGATTGATTGATTAAATCTTTTTGTAATTGGAGAGATACGATAGGGTAATGTCAGTTTAAAATTTTTTAGTTTTGACAAAATGTCATTTTCAGAGCCCAATATTAAACAATAATTAATACAAGTATTAATATTAAAAAGTGGAACAGGAGTGTAGAGAGAGTGGAGCAACGTCGGTACAAAGTGTAATAATTTCTGGATAAAAATTTTAGCCGGGGGTGATGACAAAGATCTGGTTTCTAAACTTTGCAAAAAATATCTTAATATCAAACAGCTGATTGTAAAAACTCGTCACATTGGAAATTTCAAATAGTGACTAAAAAATTTGTCAGGAGCTGCTGAAAAACTAATCGCATAATCAATGGTTTTCTGGTTATCATCAACTACCAAAAATATTCTCGTTAACCCTCATTTTTTTAAAGGCAGCTGAAGCATCGTATCAAAACAAACGACAGTTAAATTAATAATAATAACTGTACACGTTGCTTGTGTCCATTTTTTCTTTTCTATTTTCCTTTACCGCATCGCGAATGACGCTATAGAAAAATTGTGGCAAAAACCGATCACATCTAAAACAACATCATCAACTTCAATGAAAAACTATTTACGAACAACGAGCGTGGAAGCAAAGCCATGTGGAGCTTGGTTAATCGCTTCAGAGGTTCTGGAAAATCCTTCAGCATTTCAACTTTTTATTTTTTTTTAAGAAATCAGAATGACAGAGTTTCAACTTTTTTATATTTTTCTTTAAAAAAAATCAGAATCTGACAGACGCAGAGACTGTTACAACATGCAACGAAAAATAAATAACAGAATTAGAATGATTAAGCATAACAAGCATTGAAAATAAAAAATTTATTTAAAAATCGGATAAATAGATGAAATAATTTAACTGAGACGAGTTAATGAATTAATAACAAAATTATGTGTCCGTTAAGGGAAAAGAATGGACAAAATTGAACTAATGACAAATAATTATCGAGTTCTGATATATTTAAGGTGTCTTGATGAAGGTTGATTGATTGACGACTTGATAGTCATGTTTACGTTGACGAATGTTGTGTGTAGTAGTTTTGATTGGTGGTAGTAGAGGATGGATGATATGGTTGTTGTTATTTTCTACTTTCTTGAACTGTCTTGAATCGAATGTGCAGAATATTTGAGTGACGGTAGGATATTATGCAGGTAGATAGTTGAGACGAATTAGTTTTTTCATGTGAGATTGTAGTTGTTGAAGTTGTTGTGTAGCGAAATCAGAGCAAGAAGGAGCTGCAAATGATGAGCGAAATGATGGGTGATTCAGTTTGATGGGCGAGATGATGGGTGATTCAGTGATGCCGAATAATATAATATCTTTGAGACCATGCAAGCGGTGTTTTGAGTGCGTAAAATGTTTGAAAACCTGTCACTTTATGTTTGATGTGATTAATATGAGGTGCAACAATAAGCATGCAGGTAAATGTGATGCCTAATATTTTTAATTGATTTGTGCAAGTGATTGATGGGTGTTCTGGATGTATTGTTATTTTTTTACGAATATTGTGAATGATAAGTTCGAATGATTTATTGAGGTTAAACGACAGAGTGCATTGTTTTGACCATGTGGTTAATGAGTCGAGTTCTGATTGGATGGTGTTTGTGTTAAATGATGGGATGATAAGGTAGGTGTCGTCAGCGTATTTGATGATTTGATTAGAGCTATGAAGAGTTTTGAGAGTAAAAGCAATGATCATAAAGGTAGATGGTCCAAGGACAGATTTCTGAACTACACTAAAATTAATAGGTAAGGGTGAAGAAAGTGCAGAACTAAAAAAAGTAGAACTACTCCTTTTAAAAAGAAATTTTATGATAATATTGTAGATATTGTCAGGTAGAAGAAAAGAAGATTAATTAATTGAAAGTGAGAAGTGATTAAGAGTATCAAAAGTTTTAGAAGAGTCAAGAGTATAAAGATGGACATGGTTTTTATTATTAAGAAGAGATATTATTATATATTATTATAGAAAAGAGGTGATAGCAGATGTAGATGAACTTGTAGGGCGAAATGTGAACTGATCTTGTAAAATTTGTTTGATAAACGGATGATTAAAACATAGACTGGCGAATGACTTAATTATTAATTTTTTAGAAGACGTGAAAGAATGGGAATGATAGAAATTGGGCAATAATCTATCGGGGATGAAGGGTGTTATGTTTTTGGAATTGGATGGATTATGCTGGATTTCCATTGTGATGGGATAGATAAATATGTTAGGCAAATGTTGCAAAGTGAACTTATGGTGACGCAGATGATTTGTAGAAACCATGATGGTAGACTGTCTGGACCTGTACTGGATGGGCAGGTCTTAGATAACATGTACAGGACTGAGAGTGGTGTAAATGTTAAATAGACGATGTAGCAATGGGCTCTCCATTGGGAATAATCTTCTAACTTCTATGTTAGACATATCGAAGAAATGTTATCTAAAAAACCAGAACTAAAACCTAATATATACTGCCGATATGTTGAAGATATATTTGCTCAAAATTTTTACTACGACTAAACTCGTCAAAATTAAAGTTTACAATAGAAAAATCAACTGATAATAAACTACCATTCTTAGACGTACTAATACAAAATGTGCAAAGTGAATTTAAAACCTTAGTGTACTAATGCAACAAACAAAGGTTTATGCTTCAATGGCAATAGTGAATGTTGTCAAATATATCTAGATTGCATGATTTCTGCCTTTGTAAACCGAGCCTACACGCACGCTTCTGATTTAGAAAGCAGAAGAACAGATTTAGATAGAATCACTAAACTACTCATTAATAATGGATATAAAAATTCCATGATCCAGAAAATAATAGAACGAAAAGAGAAAAAAAATCAGCAACAACAACAATACAACCGACAATAGTAACAAAAATAACATAGTAATATATTATAAGAATCACATGTCAACAGCTTTCAAACAGGATGAAAAAATTATGAAAAGAATCATAGAAAAGAACGTCCAAGCAATCAACGAAAACGATAGTATTAAACAACGAATATACTACTCCAAATAAAGAACGTCATCTCTTATGATGAAAAACAACTGCACTAGTAAACCAGAATCGATAATGGATCATAGCCATCTAATATATTTGTTCAAATGTAATACTGATGAAAACGGGCGTCATAATTCTGGTTAAATTGGTATGACGACTACCAAGTTATCGAGAAGACTCACGATGCACGTACAAACTGGCGCTATAAAGAATCACATGAAAGAGAAACACAAAACTAAAATTCCCAGACAAATCATGGACCCCAATGATAAATTCTTACATTACAATAACAACCATTATAATTTACGACTAGACGAGTCAATACTCATAAAACAAAAGTATTCGATAATAAATATTTAACAACGGGCAATTGGAATACTTCCCACAAATAAATTTAGAAAGAGGAATGATATTGATAATGAAAACAGTTAAAAGTGTTATATTTATCGATAATGAAAAACTTAAGTTTTTTATTTTACGATGTTGAAAATTGTACCACTAATTATTCACTTTAAACAAATAAGGAATCAGAATCAACAAAGTAGAATAAAGGCACAGTATATATATATATATATATATATATATATATATATATATATATATATATATATATATATATATGAGTTGGTAATAAACCATCATTTTTACAATATTCTATAAATTCTACCAAATGTTTGGCGTTAATATGTTTGTAGTTCGTTTTTAATATTCTATAAATTCTACCGAATGTTTGTCGTTAGTATGTTATTTTACAATATTCTATAAACTCTACCGAATGTTTGGCGTTAATATGTTGATGTTGATTGCAATGTCAAGAAACGAACTACAAACATATTAATGCCAAACGTTCGAAAGAATTTATAGAATATTGTAAATATATATATATATATATATTATATATGTAGATTTTTGCCGGGCGACATTCGAATTCCGCACCACGCGATCTCGAACCGCGTCCGCATACGAATATGCACCCGAGCCATCACTTCGGCGGAGTCTTTCCTGGCCGGGATCCGCCGCTCTACAATAGACCCTCTCAGGGTCTGAAAACACAGGCCGGGCGGAAGTTTGTTCGCGCCCTACTTGTTGAATAGGGACGCCGATCTCGTCAACTATCAGCAAGTCTTCTTCAACATACATTATTTTAGGTTAAAAAATTAAGCCGAGCCAAATTTTAAGTGTACACTTCTTTTATTCAATAAAAACAAAATAGTACAAATCAAACCTCTGTCTTTATATGCAAAGTAATAATTAACAAGCAATATATCCAAAATTAACTATCTATTAATACTATCAACTATAACTATCAGGCAAACTATCAGAGATTCAAGCGATACTATAATCAACAGCTAAAAATAAAACTAGAGCGAAACCAAAAAGCTAAAAACATAACCTAAAAAAAACAACGACCTTCTATATCCCAACTCGCTGCCTTGTATATGTTTTTACCGCTCTATCTACATAACGCTTTCTATATCATAGAAAATTCTATACTCCCTTCTATACTCTTTTTTATACTCCTCCATATACAGAAGAGCACGTAGCACACGTCGCATATATTTCTATACTCCCTATATACAGAACAGCACATAGCAAGCGTCGCATATATCGCATATATAGCATATCAAATAACGATATACATACATAGAATGTCTATTAAATTATATATATATATATATATATATATATATATAAATATATATAAATATATATATTAGGAAGAAGACCAAGTTCTATACAGTTGTTCAAAAAATCCACCGACGATTCAGCATTAACAAGTTTCATGGTTGATTTTCTAATATTTTGAACTAGTTCTTTACAATTAAGTCTATTCAAAATGTTGAAATCCATTTTATAATCGTTTATGATTTTAATTGTTAAAATTAATCAAGCAAGATCCCATTTTTATAATCGTTTATTTTTTATATTATTATTAAAGTTATGCATATAGATCTATTTCGACGTAAAGTCATCATCAGTGCAATATATATTTTAAATAAATTCTATTAATAGTTAATTAGTTGTATTTTTTAATATATTAAAATAAAATAAAAGTAACGAAATAAAAACGCAAAGGTTCATTGAAATTAGTAAACAAAATATTTGAAATTATACGATTGTTCATGCTACGTGGCCGTTGTCAAGATGGCAACCAACAATGTCACAAATTTGAAGCGCGAAATTAATTAGAATATCGTTTCTATTATTATTATTATTATTAATATTATTAATTATTATTTTTATTATTATTATCATTATTATTATTATTATTATTGTTATTATCATTATCGTTATCATTATCATTATTATTATTATTATTATTATTATTATTATTATTATTATTATTATTATTATTATTATTGTTATTATTATCATCATCATCATCATTACCATTATTATTATTGTTGTTGTAGTTGTTGTTCTTTTTATTGTTGCTGTTGTTGTTGCTATCGTTGTTTGTATTGTTGTTGTCGTCGTCATCATTGTTATTAAAAGTATTATTATTATTATTATTATTATTATTATTATTATTATCGATGACGTTAAAATTATTAGCAACAATGTTGACGTTGTTAATTAATCTATGCGTAGGGAGAGTTGTTTTAATTTGTTGTTGGTTGTTCAATGTAGGTTTTTGCATTTCTATTAGAATGGCTTCAGCGAGTTTAAGATTTTGATATATATATATATATATAATATATATATATATATATAAATATATATATATACATATATGCACATATAGCATATCAAATAACAAGATATACATACATAGAATGTCTATTAAAATATATAGATATATACAGGCGGCACGCCTCAAAGACGCAATCTTTATCATCACAATCGTCACAATTTCACATAATAATCAGGCGGCATATTTCAATCATGAAATCATTATCATCGCAATCGTCACAATTTCACACACACACACACACACACACACACACACACACACACACACACACACACACACACACATATATATATATATATATATATATATATGTGTGTGTGTGTGTGTGTGTGTGTGATATATTGTTGATATATATATATATAAATATATATTTGAGCATCTGGGCACAAACACAACATATCAATTTGAACACAGAAGATGGAATAGGAATACCAAAAAAACTTTTCTGTTCTTCATGCATAAAATAAACAAAAATTTTAGTTTTGAAATAAAAAACTTGAAAATGATTTATGATCAGCCGTTAGAAAAATCGAAAAGTTAATGTGGAAGTTAACGCCAAACATGCTGATTTTTATCAAAATTATACATAATAATATATATATATATTAGGGTGGTTCACATTTGAATGGGGAAAAAAATTTTTTGTCTGATTTGAGTGCACACCCTCTGAAAAGTTTCCATTGGGTCCTAAAAACTTACAAACCAAAAATAAAACAAATCAAATTAAATTTAAAGGTTGCTCATGCATCTCAAAATTATATAAAAATGTGATAATTCATTATTTCGAAACCAAATACAAATATAACTGGAAAAGTATCAAAAGTTGGTTAGATGTCCATCTACCATATCTAATATCTATGTTTTCAAAACATAGATATTAGATATTTTAAAATGCATTATTATTATTAAATATTCTATGGTCACCATATTTGTTGTCAGCAAAAAGTAAAATAGGATAAATATCTGCATGTGTCGATTTACTAGTAATTTGAGGTGATTTTGAAATACCGGTACTGTACATATTTAACTACGTATAAAATGGCTTCTAATTCAAACTGTGGTGCTCTTAAAACACGCAGCATGACTAACATATGGCTAATTGGACAGTTACAAAGTGAACTTCCAGTAAATGTATTGCCTACAACAGGTGATGTCCTGGGAATGTTTTTTATTATCATCAAGTAGAAAAGAAAACTGTGCCTGAAAGTGCAAAATTGTCGTCAGATAAGGTCATGGACATGTGGAACAAGGCTAGAATACCAACAACCTACCATACTCATGTTGTAGAAAAAGTAAAGTCGGTAGTTGATGACTACAAGCTAATAAAAAAGAACAAAAACAGACAAAGTGAAGCACGACGAGCACGAGAGAAGGAATTTGAAGAAAAGGAGCACATGCTGTTTGATATTGCTTACCAACACGCCATGCAGCTCATCCGAATTCAGGAAGATATAGAATTTCTTGAAGACCAGAGGGGCAGTCAACGAATGCAAATGAGTGGCATTGATAAAGACCTGACCAAGAAAGAAGAGCGCACAGAACAACGTAAATGCAAAGAAGAAGAGAGAAAAGAGCGAGAGCAGGAGCGGATGACAGAAAGTACCTCACTACATTTATCTAGTTCTGATGACAGTGATAGTGAACAGCAGGACACAGAGGACAACTATGAAATTGAAATTCCAGTGTACTACAAAAAGCAGATCAGTGAAGTAGAAGACAGTCTGTCAAGCAGTGCCAGCAAAAAAACACGAACTGTGCAGGATATGTTGTCGTCGCCAGATGTTGCTTCAGCACTGGATAGAATAAACCTGTCAGATAGAAAGTTCACAGTATTAGCGGCAGCCATTGCACAAGCTAGTGGGCAAGACATCAGGGATACATCTCTGTCACGTTCCACAGTTCATCGTAAACGACAGCAACATCGATCAACCATTGACAGCAGTATTCGTCAACAATTTCAGGATCGTGACAGAAACCCCCTTCTGGTTCACTGGGATGGGAAGATCATGAATGATGATCTACACTCCAGAACTGATAGACTGGCTGTTGATGTGACTGGCTGTAATGTGGAGAAAATCTTAGGAATTGTTAAAATTGCATCAAGCACGGGACAAGCACAGGCCAATGCAACTTTTCAGTTGCTCAAATTATGGGACGTTAGTGAAGACATTATAGGCATGTGCTTTGATACTACTGCTGCCAATACTGGGACGTCAAGTGGAGCATGTGTTTTGCTGGAGAAACTGCTCCATAGAAATCTCTTGCACTTTGCTTGTCGTCATCATGTACATGAATTGATAATCGGTGAAGTTTTCACAGTTCTGTTTGGTCCAAGCCGTGGCCCCAACATTGGAATGTTTGAAAGATTTCGAGCCTACTGGCCAAATATAAATCAGTCAAACCACAAGCCACTTGATGATGACAGGATGAACCACTCATTGCTACAGATGATGCGGTCTGACATAGTACCATCTTTGACATGTTTTCTTTCAGCTGACAGCTCATACATCCCACGAGAGGATTACAAGGAGTTGGTTGAACTCTGTCTCTTAGTGCTGGATTATCCAATGCAGACTGATGGCAAGTACCATTTCCGTGTTCCTGGAGCATATCACATGGCCAGATGGATGGCCAAAGTGATCTACTGTCTCAAAATGTATTTGTTCCGCAATGAATTCAAGCTAACAACAACTGAAACAAAAAGTTTAACTGAATTCTGCCTATTTGCAACCCATATATATGTGCCAGCATGGATGTTGTGCCCAATACCCAGTGATGCACCAGTCAATGACCTGCAACATCTGAGCAGAATTGAACAATACTCTGAAATCAACAAGAATGTAGCAAGTGCTGCCACAAAAAAGTTGAAGAATCATCTGTGGTATCTCGGTACAGAAATGGTTTGGCTGTCATTGTTCTCAAATAAGGTTGCAAATGCTGAGAAGCAGTTGATTGTAGAAGCAATGACTGCAGTAGATTCTGACTGGAGTGTGCGAGGTGTCAAATATCCTGCAACTGAACTGGAACAGGTGAAAAGCAAACCACTGCATGATCTGGTATCAGGTACATCTCGTGCTGCATTGTTATCACTTGGAATGGATGTTGCTATCTTGCGTGAAACTGAACCAGACTCTTGGAATGATCTTCCTTTATTTCAAAAAGTAGCCAATGTTGTGAAGTCACTTAAGGTCGTTAATGACACTGCAGAACGCACTGTGGCACTCATGACAAATTTTAACCAGTCTATAACCAAAAATGAAACAGAACTGCAAAAACTGATACAGGTGGTGGAGGACAATCGAACACGTATTCCGGACTCCTCTAAGCGCACATTAGCCAGTGCTCAAGCAGCTGCTGCTATGTTTTGAGTCTGACATACTATGAGTGATTAACAGAAAAACATAAACTGAGTACATTAATTGCCTCAAGTTAATTTCAGTTTCTC